GTCCTGCTTTTCCCGCTCCAGCATGAAGGACAGCGTGAGCGAGCGCCTCGCCGCGTCGGTGAACATCGCTGCGCCGACCGCCGCCCTGATCCCGTGCAGCTGCGAGTCACTTCGGCCGAGCACGCTGGCGCCATACGTCATGGCGGGCTGCGTGCCCATCCTGCCCACCTTGCCCGACTTGGCGCCCTGGCGTTTGAGGCACGTGACCCGTCCAAGGCGGCGCCTCTGCTTGTCGAAGTTCGCGTCCATGACCTTGGTGCGCCGCTTCGCCCCCACCATCGAGTCCACGCCCATGTTGCGGTGGTGCTGTTTGACCTGGAGCCGCTGCGCCGTGTGCGTGCACACCCTGTCTGCGATCCACTTGCCAGCGTACGCCGTGGAGATGACGATGGTGGACTTCGAGCCGTTGGCCTCAAAGCCCAGCTTGCGGAGGAGCTCGATAAGGTACTGCAAGCCGTCCGCTGCTACCTTGAGCAGGAAGCGCTGCGACCCGATGCAGAGGATGGTGAGGTCGTCGACGAAGGCGAACAGCTGGATGCACTGGTACCTGTCGCCAAAGAGCCGCAGGCTGCGGAACATGAGGACCTTCAGCCATGATGTCGCGAAGCCGCAGCCCGCCAAGATGCTGCAGGCCAGCTCGACCCGCACGAGACCGCGTCGTCGACCTTGCACCGCCGTGGGCCTGCATAGATGCTGATGCTAGTGCGTAGTAGCACCAGGTTGGCGCCGCTAGCGCAGCCCTCATCCCAGAGCGTCTGGTGGCCCACCCTCTCGTAGGCCTTGGTCATGTCGAGCTGGTTCGAGGCCGTGACCATGCCGACCTTGAGGGCCCACTCCTGGTAGACGGCCTGGTCCCAGACGGCCCGCTCGGCCGTCCTACCGCTCGCGTTGTGGAAGCACGGCAGGTCGTGCTCGTCCTCCCACCGCTGCATCTGTGCCCGCCGCACCTTTGTCCATATCCGAAGAAATCCGCCTAGCAAGGCGATGGGCCTCACCCCGCCCTCCTTCTTGGCGAGGAAGACGATGATGGTGGTCAGCTGCTTCGGCTGGTTGCCGACCCTCTCCATGTATACCATGAGCTGGCCTGGCCTGACAGCATCGCGAACCACCGTGGGTGGAGCGCGTCGGAGCCCAAGGCCGTCCGATGCTTGAACTTCCTGCTCGCGGCCCTGATGGCTTCAACCGAGGGCGCGTCCAACACGTGGTGCTTGATCTCGTCCCAGCTGGTGTCCTTCATGGGCTCGCGGACGTTCCAGA